TTAATTCCCTACTATTTTTTGAAATCCTATTATTATTTCTATTGTGTTGTTTTTGCTTTGTTTTTAAAATAAAAAAGAAGCAAAATTTCCAGAACATTAACTATGATGCAAAAAGAACCTTACCAAATCATATTAATATTAAATTGCCGATTGTCAAAAAATTCAGAATTTTAATAGCAGTCAGAGAAAAACAAAAATCACACATAAAAGTAAACCTATTGGAATTACAATAGAATTTATTCTCAACATCAGTGTTAAAGGCCACAAGAGATGGAGTGAGCTCTTAAGAGCCAACAGCTTCCAACTCAGGTTAACATGTTCAGCAAAACTTTCCCAAAGTAAGTGGGGAAATAAGGTCATTTTGTGAAACACAACAGCTCAAGAGATATATGAATGCTAAACTAGTCATCCAGAAAATGTTCAGCAATATTTTAGACAGAAATGCCAAAACCAACAGAGCTAAATCCCAGATGGGATGAAAACCCCAGGCAAGATCAATAGATAAACAACAACAAAAATAACAGGAAAAGAAAAACAAAGAAACACAAAGAATGAAATGATAGCAATTAATCAAATGAGAAACTCCCAGTAAAATCTCTCAATGCTAAGGGCTTTAAGTCTCCAATTAGAAGACACACATTTATAGACTGAATCAAAAAACAGAATTCCACAGTTTCTTGCATTCAAGAAACTTATCTGATCAAAAAAGAAAGCCTTGGCTAAGCATCAAAGGTAGAAAACATTATTTCATACAGCAGGACCCCAAAAGTAAGCAGTGATGGCAATTTTAATGTCTGGCAGTGTAAACTTCAATCTAAAGCTAATCAACAGAGAAAAATATGGAATGTCACTACATTCCATCTGAGGAAAAAATACAATAAGAAGATGTAACATCCATAAATATTTATGTACCAAATACTCAGGCACCTATCTTCATAAAACAAATACTATTGCACATAAAAGGTCAAGTAAAGATCAGTTGGGGTGGTGCACAGTTGTAAGTCAGCACTCAGGAGGCTGGGGCAGGAGGATAGATGCAAGTTTAAAATTGGCCTGGACTACATTATGTGTTCAAGGCCAGTCTGAACTGCATATTGAAGTGAATTTGTGAACAATATAGGGAATCCAAGCAGCCAAATGGATAAATACACAATTTTATTAGCTGAGCTCAGCAACCACCCATGGACCCCTGTATCAGAGTCCAAATGAGTGGCCCTAACTGGAAAGTTACAGAATTTTTAAAACAGAAACCCACAAAAAGACATCCTGTTGGAAACAATTAGCTAGAATCTTGCATTAATTTTTAGTTGACACCTGTATCCTGCTTATTTGTTGAGCAGATTAATTTTTCTCCTGTGGATATCACTTATTCTGCTTTTCTCATGGGACTTGTGCCCTGAGTAATTTTCTACTCTTCTAGGTCAAATACAGGGCACAAGATGGTGTTAGTTATGCCAACCTACAACACCTAGCAGGACCTTGTATCAAAAAGAAAGAAAGAATAAGAAGGGGGAAAGATCAAGTAAATACTAACACATCCATAAAGGTGGATCTTAATACCACACTTTTCAGAGACATACATCAATTAAACAAAAGTCAATTCAGAAATATCAGAGCTGAGCTTGAATACAGGGATTTTCTCTTGATATACTCTAGAATGCAGGGATTTAACAGATATCTACAGAGTATTGCACACTATTAGACAAGAGTACATATTTTTGTCTGCAGAACATGATACTTTCTTTAAAATAGATCACACATGCCAGGTGTGGTGGCTCACGCATGTAATCCCGGCACTCAGGAGGCTGAGGTGGGAGAATGGTTGGGAGTTCGAGACTAGCCTGGGCTACAAAGTGAGCTCAAGGCCAGCCTGAACTGCATAGCGAGACCCCATCTCAAAAAAAACAAAAAAAAAAAAAATAGATCACACACTAGATTACTAACTATAACTGAAAAATGTGTTAACAGATACACACCATGAAAACTTGGAAATTGTGGCATCATTTACGTTAAGGTGTGAGAAAGAGTAGGGTTTTTGTGTATACTTAGAGTTAGCAGCGTAAAAAAGACTGTATTAAACATAACATGTCTTGTGTGAACCTCATAGTGATCTGAAGGAAAAATCTACCAGATACACAGGAGGGAAAGGAGGAGAAACAGGAGGAAGAGGAAGAAGAGGAGGAGGAGGAGGAAGAGAAAAAGATTTGGACCTTGTGCACTCCTATAATCCCAGCTACCTGAGAGGCTGAGGCAGGAAGTTGAAGTTGGAGGTCAGTGTGTGCAACTTAGAGAAACTATTTCTGAAAATCAGGTTTTAAGAACCATTAGTACGGCCATGCACAGGCTGCTTGGGGGGTAGGGGCAGCCAGACCCAAGCCTTCCCCCATGCGTCAGCGCCTTTCATAGACTGCAAGGGGAAACAAGGATTCACCAAGAAACAAGCCCTCCTTGTAAACCAGCACCATACAAGGGCTGCCACTGGCAGGGGGCAGCCAGACACTAGCCTCTTCCAGCACCCAGGCTGACAAACAAGAAGCTAATATCCACTCCCCCTCATCCTGATAAGGGCAATCCAGAGAAACACAAGCTGCGATGGTAACTATTGAGGTGAAATGCAATTAGATGCTTGTGGTGTTTTGGTGTTTTACTGACCTTGCAGGTCTAGGGCTGGTGGTCTGATCATTTGTTCAGAGGATAGCAGTATACAGTGTGGCATCTAGGAGAGAATCTCCTTGTGAAAGTGGTGGCCATTGTTAATTCCCTGTTTTGTTTTAAAATCCTGTATTATTTTCATTGTTTTGTTGGGTTGAGTTTTGTTCTGTTTTGTTCCGTTTGATTTTTTTAATATCCAATGGCAAGGAGCAGCTATTTCATGATAGCAAGAGATAGTATGGTAGCCATTTTGGATTTACTATTGTCTTGTTTTTAAGTCCTATATTGCATTCATTTTTCATTTTATTGATTCTGTTCTGTTATGTTTTGTTTGATTTTTACTGTGTCTGAAGGTATGGGCAGCTATTTTGAAGACAACAATAGGGGTTATGGCAACTATTGTTGATTTTGTATTGTTTTAAAGTCCTGTATCACTGACACTGGCTTGTTTTGGTGGCTTTATGGTTTCATTTTCCTTGGTTTTCTCCTTTTTAAAATAAATAAATAAACAAATACAAATAGTACAACACTTACCTTGCATGTATGATCCCCAGGGGTCGATCCACAGAAGTGATATTAAATCAAATAACTTACAGGAGAAACCAAAGATGTAGTAAGATAACCATTTATTGATACATATCTACATTTCAGAAGATGAAAAATCCCAAATAAACAACCTAACTGTGTACGTTAAGGAACTAAAACAAGCAAACAAAGAAAACCTACACTTACCAGTATTAAAGTTTAATTATGCTAATTTATTGTACTACATTCCATCACTATACCATCTATCTAACTCACTCGTTCCTAATTTCTCATTTTTCTCCAATGCCCTGCACACTGTCCACCCTTTCTGTGGGTCTCTGCTCCCTGCATCTGCGCTGCCATGGGTTTCTCCAGGGCTGACCAGGAATTAGGCCTGACAGGGGAAGCTGCCACTGCTCCTGCCCTTCATTGTCCATGCTTCCCACGTAACCCCTGTCTGGGTTGTGCCTGCAGGGATGGGTGCAATGTGACCCTCTCACTCATGCTTGCCCATGAGGCCTGTGTGGGACGACATTGGAGTACTGAGCCGACATGGAAGGTAACTCAGTACTGATCAGGGTCGCTGGACAGTAAGCTGCGATCTCAGTGTCCATCTGTAAAAATAGGAAGGAGGAGCACAGCTTTCAACCCTCACCTGCAGCCCTGAGCTGCTGTTACTCCTCTCTGAGGTTCTGAGAACCCTTTCTAGAGATTCATTCTAGGTTCTTGTCAACCTAAACAAAGAACTGGGCAAAACAATCACAAAGATGTAGTGAAGATTTACACGTACAGAAGGCAGGAAAAGGAACATGCTCTGTAGAACAGGTCTGGGCAAACTGTGAATAGGAAAAGTAGCACATTGTATAGGGTGGGAGTGGACAAAAGTGAAACAGCACAGTGGGCAGGGGCACTTGGCAGCCATCTTTTGTACCTCCCACCCCTCAGGCTTACGTCAGTTCTGCTTTCAGAAACCTCTTTGAGTTATCAATAGTAGACTGAAGACAGCATTCTGAGTGGCTCCAGGTGCAGGGCTCAGAGTTCTTCTGCAGTTGTGACCTAGCTGTGAGTGACAGGTTAAACCCTGTGTACAGTGGATTTGCCAGCCCAGTGTCCTGTTACACTTCCACCTCCACAGAGAGGAGGAAGCTGCTCCTTAATTATTCTTTGATGATCTGAGGCTCCAGTGGCCTCTCTGCTTTGTTCTTTGTATTCTTGTTCATTCAAGAACCTTCCTTCCTATCTTTACTTTCATGATCATAATGACCTGGAAGCTGCAGGTGTATTACATGGACCATTTCTAAGTTCTCAGGACAGATAAGGACCTGTTACTAGCACACACATGATCTCACACCATGGACCTCACATGGAACAAAGCCAGGTTTTCACTGTTCTAAAACTTAGCCATGGCTGAGCCCCAACATGTCCAGGAACCAGTGACCCCATAATATATCTTATAGTGGAGTGAAGGTCGCAGGCTGGAAATGAGGAAGCTGAGGCTCAGAGAGAAAGAGCTAAGTTCAAGATACAGAATGATAAACAGGAAATAAACTGAAATCAACTGAATTCAGATACAGTCTATACAGGTTCCTGAGGTTCCTATACACCCTGAGGTTCCATGGGTGGCTCAGTAATTTCACTCCAAGGAAATGTGGGTGGACTCAATTGCTAAGGAAATAGGGAAGCCTATGAAGGAGAAGGTTTAGCACAGAAAACCCACACAGGGACCAGGAAGTGAGTCAGCAGTGCTGCCCTGTTCCCCTGCATCTCTCATCCATGCTAATTCCCAGGACGCAGCTCCAGTGAGCTGCACACACAGGGCTCAGCACATCTCCGTCCACCTGCAGCAAGAATCTGCATCTTACCAGAGCATTTGGGCTTGGGGAGGATGGCCATGATGAGGAGCACAGTGTTGTACAGATAGATGGGCTGAAGGAAGGGGGAGACCCACGAGAGGCTCTGAGAGAAAGGACCAGCCCTGGGAACTGTCCCCTAGAAAGTACCAACTCAGAAAGACATCAAGTCTATTTGCTTCTGTGACCTGGCCCTCAGTAAGATGAATGTAAAGCAGGAAGATTCAAAAGGAAGCGAAAGTCATACATCGATGCCTGCCTGCCCCAGACACAGACCTGGTAATACAACAGATGGCTGATGGGGAGGGCAGTTCCCGTTCATGTGGGGCGGTGCTGTGATAAACTCGTGATGGGCAGAACCCAGCCTCAAACTTCTCACATCGTTTTTGTCTGTGGACCTGCAGAACAGTGAAGTCCACAGCTCTGTAAAAAACTGTTTTCAGCACTTGGAGAAGCCATGATTCCCACTCTCACGGCCCTGCTCTGCCTGGGTGAGAAGGGAAGAGGGAGGAGACACCCCAGCATGCAGAGGGCCAGGCTCTGGTCCATCACAGACCCAGGGCACAGAAGGCTCCGGGGGACCTGCTCGGGATCCAGGGCAAACCTCTCACAGGGAACTCTCTTCCAGGGCTGAGTCTGGGCTCCAGTACACCAGTGCAGACAGGTGAGTGTGTCACCAGCTATCTGGGTCCCCCTTCCTCCTGTGAACAAGAGGTCACCTATATGGGCAGAGGGGATGGAGCACAGCAAGTGTGGGGTGGTGCTGGGAGGTCTGGAGGGTGCTGGAGATGAGATCTGGGATTTGAGGGGAGCAGGAAGGTGCTGGGACCCAGCTGTGATTTCCCTGCAGAGACCTTAGCCAAACCCAGGCTCTGGGCTGAGCCAGGATCTGTGATACCACGAGGGGAATCTGTGACCCTCTGGTGTGAGTGGACTCTGGGGGCTCGGGAATATGGCCTGTACAAAAAGGGAAGTCAAGAGCCCTGGACAAGACAGACATCACTGGAACCCAAGAGCATGGCCACGTTCTCCATCCAATCCATGACAGAGCACCATGTAGGACAATACCACTGCTACTATCGAACCCCTTCTGGCCAGTCAGAGCCCAGTGAGCCCCTGGAGCTGGTGGTGACAGGTGAGAGGACTCTCATGCCCAGCCCCAGGCTCTGCCCTCAGGAAGGGGTCTGATCTCAGAGGTGTCCCCCTCTCACAACCCAGCTTTGGGGACAGTGTGGGAGGTGTGAGTCCATTTCACATGCTGCTCCTTCTCTCTTAGGATTCTACAGCAAGCCCAGCCTCTCAGCCCTGCCCAGCCCTATGGTGACCTCAGGAGGGAACGTGAACCTCTGGTGTGGCTCATGGCTGGGATTTCACAGGTTCATTGTGACTAAGGAAGGAAAAGACAAGCTCTCCTGGACCCAGAAGTCAGAGCAAAAACCCGGAGAGCAAGCCAAGGCCCTGTTCCCTGTGGGTCCTGTGACCCCCAGACACAGGTGGAGGTTCAGATGCTATGGCTGTTATTGGAATGAATCCCAGGTGTGCTCAGAGCCCAGTGACACCCTGGAGCTCCTGGTCTCAGGTGAGGGAGGCACAGCCCTTCCTTGAATGACTGAGGTCCTGACTCAGCTCCAAGAAAGGCCATGGAGATGAGAAGAGCCAGGGACCCTAAGCTCAGTGACAGCATAGGCGGGGGGCTGTGAGACCCAAGATAGAGGGATCCAGGAAGACAGAGAAAGTGAGTGTTAAATGGAGGAAGGAGAGGAAACTTTAATGGCTCGTCACAGTTCCTCTGCTCTTTATGGGTCAGAATAAATGAGCTCTGGTGGGACCTTCACTGTGCACTGTGCAGAACCCACCTTACGCTGTCTCCCCTGATTTCCTGCAGGAACCCTCCCCAAGCCCATCTTCCGGGTGGAACCACATTCTGTGATCCCTTGGGGGGAGACTGTGACCCTCTGGTGTGAGGGGACCTCGGAGGCCCAGGAGTACCATCTGGGTAAAGAGGGAAGTCCTGTGTTCTTGGACACACAGATCTCAGCAAAACCCATGAAGAGGGCCAAATTCTCCATCCCATCCATGACAGAAAATAACTCAGGGCAGTATTACTGTTACTATACGATATCTGGCATCTGGTCACAGTCCAGTGACCCCATGGAGCTGGTGGTGACAGGTGAGAGGGCACTAGGGGCCCCAGGCCCACATTCTGCTCTCAGGTAGGGATCTGTTCTCAGGGGTGTCCCCCTCTCTAGCCTAGCTCTGGGAGTGTGGGAGGTGTGGGAGGTATGAGTCATTCCACATGCTGCTTCCTTCTCTCCTAGGAGTTTACAGCAAGCCCAGCCTCTCAGCACTGCCCAGCCCTGTGGTGACCTCAGGAGGGAATGTCACCCTCCAGTGTGCCTCACTGCAGCAATTTGACAGATTCTTTCTGACTAAAGATGCAGAACACAAGTTTTCCTTTGACCTGGACTCACAGCAGCATTCCCATGGGCAGGTCCAGGCCCTGTTCCTTGTGGGCCCTGTGACCCCTGGTCATAGTTGGACATTCACTTGCTACGGCTTTTACAGGAGCAAACCCCAGGTGTGGTCAGAGCCCAGTGACTCCTTGGAGCTCCTAATCGCAGGTGAGAAAGTCCTACCTAAAGCAACAGCTTGTGAGTCACCAAATGCATTGACAGAGCCTGAACTCAATGGGCTCTCAACTGGCAGTTACCCAGAGCAGCTCCAGAACCAGAAACCCTGAGTGTGACAGACAGGGGGACCCACAAGACCGGACATGAGGGCAGGGTGTGGTAGGAACCAGCCCCTCAGCCCGGCTTCTCCTCTCTCCAGGTCTGTCCGGGAAGCCCTCCCTCCTGACCCAGAATGGTTCTTTCCTGACCCCTGGACACAACCTCACTCTCCAATGTCACTCTGATCTCGGCTATGACAGATTCACTCTGTCCAAGGAGGGGGCAGGTGATCTCCTCCAGCACCCTGGCTGGCAGCCCCATGCTGGGCTCTCTCAGGCCGACTTCCCCCTGGGTCCTGGGAGCAGCTCCCATGGAGGCCGATACAGATGCTATGGAGGACACAGCTTCTCCTCTGAATGGTCAGCCCCCAGTGACCCCCTGGACATCCTGATCACAGGTGAGGACCTCAGGACTCAATCAGGGACCCAGACTCTGCACAGGCTCTGCTGGGGGAGTCCAAGAGTTGATGGCCATGGTGAGGCTTGGTGTCAGGGAGGAAGACAGAGAGACAGGGGAGGGAAGGAGGGGCAGAGTCAGAGGAAACAGAGACAGAGAGCAAGAGTCCTCAGAGACAGCCCTGCTGAGGTCTCAGCTCAGAACAAGCTGGGGCAGCCCCTCACCACCTCCTTCTCTCCAGGACAGCTCCCTGCCACACCCTCCCTCTCTGTGAAGCCGGGACTCATGGTATCCTCAGGAGAGAATGTGACCCTGCTGTGTCAGTCATGGATTCCGATGGATGCTTTCCTTCTGTCCAAGGAGGGAACAGCTGATCCCCCACTGCATCTGAGATCAGAGTCCCGAGCTCAGCAGTCCCAGGCAGAATTCTCCATGGGAGCTGCAAGCTCAGCTCTCGGGGGGACCTACAGATGCTATGGCTCTCAGGACTCAGCTCCATATTTGTTGTCACAGCCCAGTGAACCCCTGGAGTTCATGGTCACAGGTGAGGCACCCTGGACCCCATCAGTCTGGGCATGGGGTCCTTTTGGCACTGCTCCAAGAACAGTTCTGGCTGGGATCAGAGCTCAGCACCCTATGGCAGGTCAGCCATAGGGGGAAACACCCCTCAGGGGGCAGGAGGGTGGCTGGGTCCTCTTAGGCACAGCCACTGCACCATGAGACTGGATGGGCAGAAGTTCTGAGTGGGCAGCAGGAAGGTTGCAGGGAGGCCACAGGGCAAGTGGAGGAGAATGAACCATTACAGATTCCACAGGGGGAGCCCCAGTCCCTCACCTACCTTTTGTACATTCCCAAGATTCTCTGGGGCCCCAACTCCCACCCTCAGCACCCAGCTCCACAGCAGGAGTCTCGGGATCAGCCCCAGTGTCCTGGGTCCAGGCTGCCTGGAGATGCTCAGCCCATCTCAGTCCTGGTTCCAGCCCAAGCTCACTGGTATTCAGGGTCCTAAAGGTCAAGCTGAGATGTGAACAAAGACACCAGGTCTCCAGACCTCAGAGTTGGGGTGGTAGCCTGAGGGTAGATTAAGGGTACAGGTGCTGGGGTCCAGTGAAGTGGGGAGCAGGTAACTCAGCCCCTCACCTCCCCATCCCACTCCAGAACACCCTGAGGATCAGCCACTGCCCCCCACCAATGTCAGGAGCCCCGGCTGGGCATGATGAGTAAGGGCGCTGCTGGGAGGGGTCCAGAGTTGATGGCCATGGTGAGCCTTGGTGTCAGGGAGGGAGACAGAGAGACAGGGGAGGGAGGGAGGGGCAGAGTCAGAGGAAACAGAGACAGAGAGCAAGAGTCCTCAGAGACAGCCCTGCTGAGGTCTCAGCTCAGAACAAGCTGGGGCAGCCCCTCACCACCTCCTTCTCTCCAGGACAGCTCCCTGCCACACCCTTCCTCTCTGCGAAGCCGGGACCCATGGTATCCTCAGGAGAGAATGTGACCCTGCTGTGTCAGTCATGGATTCCGATGGATGCTTTCCTTCTGTCCAAGGAGGGAACAGCTGATCCCCCACTGCATCTGAGATCAGAGTCCCGAGCTCAGCAGTCCCAGGCAGAATTCTCCATGGGAGCTGCAAGCTCAGCTCTCGGGGGGACCTACAGATGCTATGGCTCTCGGGACTCAGCTCCATATTTGTTGTCACAGCCCAGTGAACCCCTGGAGCTCATGGTCACAGGTGAGGCACCCTGGACCCCATCAGTCTGGGCATGGGGTCCTTTTGGCACTGCTCCAAGAACAGTTCTGGCTGGGATCAGAGCTCAGCACCCTATGGCAGGTCAGCCATAGGGGGAAACACCCCTCAGGGGGCAGGAGGGTGGCTGGGTCCTCTTAGGCACAGCCACTGCACCATAAGACTGGATGGGCTGAAGTTCTGAGTGGGCAGCAGGAAGGTTGCAGGGAGGCCACAGGGCAAGTGGAGGAGAGTAAACCATTACAGATTCCACAGGGGGAGCCCCAGTCCCTCACCTACCTTTTGTACATTCCCAAGATTCTCTGGGGCCCCAACTCCCACCCTCAGCACCCAGCTCCACAGCAGGAGTCTCGGGATCAGCCCCAGTGTCCTGGGTCCAGGCTGCCTGGAGATGCTCAGCCCATCTCAGTCCTGGTTCCAGCCCAAGCTCACTGGTATTCAGGGTCCTAAAGGTCAAGCTGAGATGTGAACAAAGACACCAGGTCTCCAGACCTCAGAGTTGGGGTGGTAGCCTGAGGGTAGATTAAGGGTACAGGTGCTGGGGTCCAGTGAAGTGGGGAGCAGGTAACTCAGCCCCTCACCTCCCCATCCCACTCCAGAACACCCTGAGGATCAGCCACTGCCCCCCCCCCCAATGTCAGGAGCCCCGGCTGGGCATGATAAGTAAGGGCGCTGCTGGCTGGGGTCCAGGGCAGGGGCTGAGCTGGGGGCTGCTGCAGCCTCCTCTGGAGATGCTGACTCAGACCAGCCCCTCCTGTGTGGGCCTCAGTTTCCCCAGGTGTAGAGGACCAGGCCTCCCAGGCAAACCTCCAGGACCCCAACCTGAATGGTCCTGTCCCTCTGTGTAGTGACGGTAACAGGATGCAGGTGGGGGCTCAGGGCCAGGGCAGGGGGTTCAGGAGCAATCTCCCCATCACAGGGGGCTCAGTCACAAGGCAGAAGTCAGAGCCCTAGGTCCAGTCCCCAGGACTGCCTCTTCCTGCTGGGAGACCTGGGAGCTGATGGCCTCTCTGAGCCCCAACGTCCTTCCCTGCCCACTGTCCAGGTGTGTGGCAATCACATATCCCAAAGCTGTGAGGATCGGAGGTGAGGAGTCAACAACCCCACATAGGCCTGGCACACAGTAAAACCCCCACCAAGGGGCCATGCTGTGTTCCCAAAGTCACCACTACTTTTTCCTCACTGACTTCCTCACCAAGGACCAGGAAAGCACCTGAAGGTTCTGATTGGGGTCTCGGTGGCCTTTGTCCTGCTACTGCTGCTCCTCCTCCTCTTTCTTGTCCTCCAACGCTGGCATCAGGGAAAAAGCAAGAAGGCAGGTGAGTAGGGAGAGGGTGACCTGGGTCTCAGGAATCTATGGGCCCCCCATGGTCCGAACCAGGCTGGCCCAGGACACCAGTCTGATGGAGGAAGTTGAGCTTAGCACCCTCTCTGCAGACACAAAGTCAGAGAATCCAGCACAGAACGTTCCCATCTCTGTGGGAGTCTCTGGTGTGGTCTGAGCTCCTCCACTTCAGGCCACATTGGCTCCCTGTCCATGGGATCCCAGGCTTCCTTCCTGTCCTGCATGGCCTGCGGACTGGGTGGTTCTGACCTCCTGGCCGGGACTCTGTCCATCTCCCAGCCCAGAGAGAAGTGACTTCCCATGTCCTACAGGAGCCACGGGGCCAGGACCCCAGTACAGAAGCCTGCAGAGGAGGTCATTCCTGCCCAAGGACACCGACTCCCCTGCCTGCCACCCTCAGGTCCACCTGACACCCCCAGTGTCCCCCCAGCTCCAGCTCAGGTGCTCTCATGCAGGAGGAAAACTTCTATGAGAGGAAGAAGGGTGCGTGGTGGAGACGCCCCAAGGTCCCAGCATCACAGGGGCAGGGAAAACTGGGGCTCAGGGCTGAGTCAGACTAAACCCTGACACAGTGGGCCAGGGTACATCACACAGCTGCCTAGCTCTGTGTCCCCAGCTAGACAGGGCACGGCTTGGGGGGCTGAGAGACCACAGAACTCTGGCCAGGAGGTATCTCCTCTTCTGTCCCTGCAGATGCCACTGAAAAGGACACAGAGCCTGAGGACAGGGCGGAGCTGGACACTCTGGTGAGACTCTGCCCCATCCAGGGCACGGGGACTTCCTGTCTTCCAGATTAGTCCAGGGACGCTGCTCTGTCCTGCGCTGATCAGCTCTCAGGGGCCTCACAGCTGAGCCCTCCCTTCTGGAAGTCCTGGCCTCTTCCTGCTGTGACCCCACCCTCTGCTGGTTTCCTGTGACCTCCCTCGGGGTCCTCTTCTTCCTTCTCCTTCCCCTTCCTGGCCCTCAGCCTCTGTCTGGCTGTTCCCTCCCTGGGTCTCAGAAGGACCCTGAGTGAATGAGCAGCCATACACACCCGAGGTCTGCACCCTCATTCATGGGGGCCTCCCTCCTGACCTAGCTCCATGGGGCTGCAGACACAGCAATGGGCACAGCCCCGTCCCACCCCGAGTCACCTTGAGGGGGGAGGCCAGCGTCAGGAGAGCACAGAGCTGTGAATGGAAATAAAGCAGAGAAAGGGATGGAGGGCAGGAGGGTCAGTGAAACTCACAGGAAGGACACTGGTAAGGTGACTGCTGAGCAGAAGCCTGCATGGAGAGGGCCACATGCACCTCCAGCATGCTAGCATTGCAGGCAGAGCACACAGCAACTGCAAAGGTCCTGGGGCAGGGACGGGCTCCTTCAGGAGGATGCGTCATGTAGCTATATCCTAAGAAGCAGGGTCAAGTGTCAGGATGGAAGGGCAGCACTGCAGGAAGGAAGTGGTCAGGACCTCCAATCCTCAGAAAGTCCCTGGAGATCCATAAGGGAAGAATAGAGTCCAGTTTAATTTCTAAAGGAACCTAGCTGCAGGAGACCAGCATAGAAGCAGGGAAACCCTATCTCTGTCTGTCTCCCTGCTGCAGAGCCCACCTAATGAGGATCCCCAAGAAGCAGTCTGCGTCCAAGTGAAGCACTCAGCACCCAGGAACAGTAGATCCTCCCCTCCTTCAGCCCTGTTGAGGCAGTTCCTGAACACAAAGGACAAAAAGGTAGGGGACAACAGGCAGATGGGCGCTCAGGTGGGTCCTGCGTTCCCCCAGCCCCAGGTTTCCCCAGCACCAACAACAAACAAATCTCCCCTCTCCCCTGCAGGCTGCTGCCCATGAGGATACCCAGGATGTGACCTATGCCCAGCTCAGCAACTGGACGCTCAGACAGGAAACAGCTGCACCACCTTCCTCCCAGGACGGGGCCCTCCAAGAGGTGCCCACTCTGTATGCTAACCTCATGCCCACTCGTCCGGGACCCATCCCAAAGGACACTAAATGATGCCTCAGCCAGGGACAGAGACCTCCAGAGATTCTAGGATCTTAGGCTCACCTGACCCTGCAGTCAGAGAGAGCTCACATCTCTCTGTGTTGGAAATGAAATGAGAGATTCTTCAATAATTGCTGAGTGAACGAGAAATGAAATCATGGGAGAGGGTTGTGAGATGAATAATAATGTTAATGACAGCGTGATGCCACACAGACAGGAAAGGAGAGAATTAAAAACCATGGATAACAGCAGATGACACTCCCTAAAACTGGATGGATCCAGCTATGCTACAAAACTTTTGGAAGAAGAATGCAGAATTCCATTAAGTGAAGGTAAGGTGACAGATTAGATCTTCCTGGGAGGAGTTGGCTCAGACTTCAACATGGAGAAAGAGCAGACAGTATGACAGATTGCCCGTGTTTAAAAAAAAAAACTCAAAATTATGAACAATTTTTCCAACTAATTAGATGTACAGGGTCTCCAAGTACACGATTACTATGTGGCATAAATATAAATAGAAAATCTGAATCCTTTTGTATACATTAAACCCTTTGACTGTATTTGAAAACTTTCCCAGTGGAAGTTCCAGGAAGCTTCGCTGGAAATTTCTCAGTCACAGTGGAACACTTATGATGTAGACACAACTCTAAGACTCTTCTCCCAGGTACGAAAAGAGAAGAGTCCTACACATACCAAACCTCAACAAATAATCCACTAAACGGGGGAGTCCCAGGAGCCTCAAATCCTACCACCTTCATGTGACTTCCTAAAAAGAATTCCAACTCCAGCAATTAGGGAGGCAGAGGCAAAAGGATCACAAGTCTGATGCCAGCCTGGGCTACATAGAGATGTCTCAGAGTAAAACAAAAGTCCTAGGAATGTCGCTCAGTGTTGTTCCCCAAGTTCAAACAGCAGTGCTGCCCAAAAAATTGTAAAGGTTCAGAAACACAGTATGCCTATGAGTGCCTCGTGTTTATCATTCTTTATGGCAGAGTAATACTTCATTGTGTGTAAACACTACATTTTCTTGACCCATTCATTTCTTTTTTTAATCTAAATTCTTCATTTTACCTGCCATCAGATACAATAAAATCAAACAGGCTTTTGAAGCAGTTACTAGTAGTCTTTTAGGTTTTGGCAGTGTCCACTGTGATTTTTCCTTTCTGATTTCTTTTTTCTTCCTCTCTGAAATAAAATGGACTTGCTCCAGTCATCTCTTGATGAATGCATACACTCTTTCTCAGATTTATCTATCATAAATTCTGCCGCTATAAACATGACTATGCACATAGCCCTGCGATGTGATGGTTTTAACTCTTGAGAATACAGCTGAAAGGGAGGTAACGGGGTCAAGTGGAATTTTTAATTTTAGATTTTTGAGGAATGCCTACACTGATTTCTACAGTTGCAGTACTGGTTCACATTGCCACCAACAATGGAGAATTCCTTTTTCTCTACATTCTTCCCAGCATTTGTTATTATTGAATTTTCAATGATAGCTATTTTCTGCAGTAAATGCCTTACAGTCATTTTCATTTCTGTGTGGCCGGAGATGCTGGCCATTTTTTCATGTATTTACTGACATTAGTGTTTCTTCGTCTCAGGAGTGTCTATTCATTTCAGTTTCCCATTCTTTAATTGGATCTGTAATTCTGTGCTGATGATGTTGGAGTTCATTACACACTCTATACTAATTTTTTTGTCATGGAAGTGACTGACAAACATTTCTTCCCATTCCCTGGGTGGTCTCTTCAGTGTGTTTGCTGTTTTGTTTGCTGTGTGGAAGCTTTATGATTTTATATGAGTTTCTTCTTGATGTTGTTTCTTCTGCAATTTGGGCTGTGCTGTGAAAATCTCTGCCTAAGTCTATGTCTTCAACAGTTTTACTGATTTTATCTTCCAGTAATTTAATTGTTTCAATTTTAACATTTAGACCTTTGACCATTTTTAAGTTTAGTTTAGGTAAAAAATGTAGGTTTATATTCAGTCGCATGCACATGGACAGCAGTTTCCCAGCACCATGTGCAGAAGTGTCCCTCGTTCCTCCAGCCCAGGGCTTGGGCCCATTTGTCACAATTCAGGTGGACGAACGTGTCTGGTGTTGTTCTGTGTCTTTTCTTCTGTTCCGTTGATTCCCATTCTGGTGTGTGCTGATGCCATGCTGTTTTTATTGCCGTTGTTTTTCTTTTAAATTTATTTTAAAGAGAGGGGCTGGGGGTTTAGCTCAGCGGCATAAGCGCCTGCCTTGCAAGCTGGCAGTCGTGAGTTCGATCCCTGGTACCGATAAAAACGAAAAAGACAAAAAAAAAAAAAAAAGACAAAAAAATTTATTTTAAAGAGAATGGAACCAAGCAAAATAAAACAGAATAAAACCAATCAAAATAAGAGTATAACACATGATTTCAAAACAAGATAAAAGGAAATCAACAATGGTTACCGGAATGCCTCTTGTCTTCAAAATAGCTGTCCATACTTTCAGACATAGTAAAATCAAACAAAACAGAATAGAGGAGAAACAATAAAAATGAACAGTGAAAGCATTACAGAACTTCAAAACAAGGTAATAGTAAATCCAAAATGGCTATCATAATAATATATCTTGTTATCTCTGAAATAGCTGCCCCTGCCATTAGATACAATAAAATCAAACAAGATAAAACAGAATAAAACTCAACCGAACAAAACAGTAAGAATGATACAGGAATGCAAAACAGGACAATAAGGAATTAACAATGGCTATCACCTTCGGAAGGAGATCCCCATAGATGCTATGCTGTGTATGGTCATCCTCTTAACTAGATGATCAAGATTCCATGCTTTAGGTCCACAAAATCAGTGAAGTACTAAAAACTACAAGCCTTAAGTGGTATATTACCTCACTAGCTGTCATCACAGCCTGTGTTTCTCCGGATCAGCTGGTCGCTTGCAGGGGGCGGGGCATTGGCTTTTCTTGTCTCCCTGCTGGCACCAGAAGGGGTTTCATCTGGCTCTCCACAGTCAGCTCATGCGTGGCACCACTCACAGGAAGTCTTAGCTTCTTCTTCTCCTCCCCCACAGTCCATGAATGGCGCCAACTCACAGGAGGGGCTGGCATCTGGCTCGCCCCTAGTCCACCCACTAGTGGCACTGGCTCACAGGAAAGCTTGGCTTCTTGTTGACTCCTTGCTCTCCTCCCCAACAGTCTGTAAAGGCACTGAATCTTGGGAAAGACCTCAGGTCTGGCTCTTCCCCAGTCAATCTACCTATTACTGTTGTTTTTTAATGAAACTTGAAATCTGAGATTGTGATGCCTCCTGCTTTGCTCTTATTGGGTCATTGCTAATTCCATTTGAATTTTAGAATTGTTGTATCTAGTTCTGCCTACAACTCTGTTGCAATTTTAATGGGATTGTATTAAATCTGAGTCACTTTTGTAAATATGACCATTGTAAAACTATTGGTTCTGTCTATCCAGGGAAAGGGGATAGCTTTCTAATTTTGGATATTCTTTTTGAATTTCTTTTGCAGAATTCTATGGCTTTCATTATAGAAACGTTTCCCTTCAGGGTTTGGATTAATTCTGCGTTGCTTTATTTTTCTTGAGGCTACTGAGAATGGCAGTGTTTTCCTAATGTGTTTCTTGGTGAGCTCATTATTGATGTAGAGCAGCACTGTTCATTCTTCTGTGTTAATGTTCCACCTTTCTACATTACAGAATTTGCTCATAAATTCTAAAAGTCCTTGTGGAATTTTTTGCTTTGTTTTTTGACCCAGGGTCTTTATATGGTGGTTCATGCTGGCCTTGAATTCATTGTGCGCTGCAGGCTGGCCTTGGACTCACAGTGATCCTGCTTCCTCAGCCTCCCAAATGCTAGAATCACAGGCATGAGCCACCACCCCCAGCTCTTCTTTGTTCAATTTTGGTAAATCACATGTGGATCTAAGGATCTTTCCATTTCTTTAAATTTCCCCAATTTGTTGAAGCACAGTTTTTCATACTACAGTAGTTACTGATGATTTTCTGGATTTTACTGATGTCCATGTGATTTCACATTTTTTTAGTTTTAATTAATTTGATGAGATTTTTTTCCTCTATTTTGATAAGTTTGGCCATAAGTTTCTCTAGTTTTCTTATGTTCTCTTTGATTCATTTATTTTTTGTTTCAATTTTTGTTTTGTTTGTTTAGTCTCAGCTTCATTGATTTCCACTCTGATCTACATGGTATCCCTCCTTAAATGAAGCTTGGGTTTTGACTATTATTTTTTGGGTATTAGGAGTTAAACCATTAAGCCATATTTTAGGTACTCTGTTTTTCTAATGGAAGCTTTGACTCCCCTGAACTGCCTTTTATTATTGCTTCCACTGTGTCACATAGGTTGGTGTGTTGTACTAGCATTGTCATTTGATGCTAGGAATTGTGTAATTTCCTCCCTGATTTTCTCTGGGATCCACTGGCTGTTTAGAAGTGTTCATGTTCAGGTGTTTATAAAATTGCTGTACTTTCTTTTATCATTAATTATAGTTTCAGTGTGCAATAATCTGAGAGGATACATGCTGGGATTTCAATTTTGTATTCATTTAAGTAAGATTTCTGGACCCAATTGGGTCTAATTTATAAAAAGATGCATCAGCTTCTTAAAAGAATGTATATTCTGTTGTACTAGGAAAGGATTCTATGTAGATATTTATTAAATCCATTTATACAAAAGTGAGATTCAGCTTTGATTTTTTTCATTTTATATTCAGTTGATCTGTCTATTTGTGAAAGGTGGGTATTGAGGTCATCCATTATAATCGCATTGGTGTTTGTTCTGTTATGTTCAGCAGTGCTTGTCTTAACACATTAAGTACCTTAATATTTGGTGACTACATTTAAAACTGTAATCTCTTCTCAATTATTCTCTGCACTAACATGTTAGGAACCTCTTTGCCTCCTCTAATCAGTTTGTTTTTTATTTGCTTGTTTGTTTGGTTGGTTGGTTGTAGGTATTAAACAGTTGTTTCGTTGGTTTTTCAAGACAAAGGCTGACCACATAAATCAGGCTGGGCTCTGACTCATTAGATAGCATAGGCTGGCCTCAAACTACATCAGTCTTCCTGCCTCAGACTCTCAAGTGTAGGGGTTGCAGGTGTGACCCCCCCCCCCCGCCTCCCATATACAGCCTGTCTTCTGATCATCTTTGCCTTGCAGTTTACTCTGAGATTAAAACTGGTATCTGGGCCTTCTTCCAGCATCCTATGCATGCAATTGTTCTCATAATTTGATTTTTAATTTACGAATTCCTTTATGGATTAGATACATTTATTTAACACAACAGACTGTTGTTAAATTCTGGTTTTTGATCCAGTCTGCCAATCTGCATCTTTCATTGGAGACAAGTTGAGACTTGTCTCCATCAACGTTGAGACTGATTACTGAGACATATTGACTTAGTCCTGTCATTGCATTCTTTTGCTGTTGTCGACTCCTTTGGTTGTTTCTTTGCTTGTTTTTCTTAACTACTGTTATGGATTGTGTCTGGATGTCCCCCCAAAGCCTCATGCAGCCATGGGAGTAGGCTTTTTGGAGGCAGCTGAATCTAGTTTATCATTGGTTCACAGTATAGTGCTAGGATTAGAGTTAAGTGCTGTGTCCTCTCCAGGGTGGGTAGCCTGCACACAATATAAGGGATGGAAAGATACTTACTCCCTCCTCCTCTCACTTGCTGCTTTTGCTGTCTTCTGCTGCTGTGAATCATTTCCCCTCTGCCATATGTCACCCTGCCTTGGATGACGGACAGAAACCTCCATAAACTCCAGGTGCAGTGAAGGAGAGAGGTGGGTTTGAGGCTTCCACATCAGCCTCCCCATTCCGGTTACACTTGCAGAATTGCTGAGCTACCGACAGGTGGGTGGGCCCACACTATCAGCCTAGCCCAGCCTGTTTAGCTACCGCGCCTGGCCATTGGTCTGCAGAGGAGGAGCTGGGCAGATTTAGGGTGCCTGCATCGGCCTCTCCATGTGTCTGGAGGACTGTGGATATCTCTGCAACCAGGGAGGGTCCACAGGTTCCTGAAGCACTGTGGCCTGTGGTGAGTACCCTAACCCGGCTGCGATTGAAGAGCTGTGGAGCTTCCAAGGGGCAGGTGGGCGCACAGTGTCCCTGAGGCCCAGCTTGTCTGGAACTGCGGAGTTCTGAGCAGGCAGAGGAGGGCCACTGGTCCTGTAGGCCTAATGGCTTGGAGTAGCACGGCGCCAGAGTCCCAGTAGCTCCAAACATAGAAGGGGATTTTCAACAGATCCTGAGGAAGCTTTCAAATAACACTTGAAACACAGAAATATAGGAAAATGACAAAACGAAAGACCAAATTACAACCTCAAACCTCCAGCCCATCTCAAGAAACCCTAGGAGCGATGTATATAGAAGAAAATATATCCCATCCACCTCATATATCGGACACAATAGCCACTGAAATTGACAAGCAACTCCAGGAAGCTTTAAAGAAATTCAAACTCGAAATAATCTCCCAGATAAAAGAAGAAATGATAAAAGAAATGAAAGAGATTCTAAATATATCTAAAGAAAACACAGATAAAAAATTGGAGGAACTAAACAAAAAGATAGAATCCCTAGACGAGCAATACAAGAAACAAACAGAATACATAATGCAGATGCACAGAGATATACAGGAAATAAAAAACTCCACTGAAAGTTGTAAAAACCGCCTTAATGAAAGTGAAGATAGAATTTCAGACCTTGAAGACAGGATTGCAGCTAGTGAGCAGGAAAGGAAAGATCTTTTGAAAATAACAAGGAATCAGGAAACAACAATTCAACAACTGCAAGACGATGCAAAGAAGAATAACATAAGAATGATAGGGATTAATGAAAGAGAGGGAGACAACATGAAGGATGTCAGGAGGATATTTAGAGAAGTAATAGCTGAAAATTTCCCAAGCATGAGATCAGAAACTGACATCAGGATCAGTGAAGCATATAGAACTCCAAACAGTCATAACCAAAATAAAACTACACCCAGACATATAATAATCACCATCCCAGAAATCCAACACAAGAATAGATTATTAAAAGCTGTCAGAGAGAAAAGACAGATCACTTATAAAGGAAAACCTATCAGAATCACAGCAGACTTCTCAGCACAAACGATAAAGTCAAGAAGAGCATGGAGTGAAGTATTCCAGATCCTAAAGCAAAATAATTTCCAACCAAGACTGATATATCCTGCAAAACTATCATTTAAAATAGATGGTGAAATACGATACTTCCACAACAAAGAACAGCTGAAGAACTTCATGAACACCAAACCAACCCTGCAAAAAATATTGAAAGACCATTTAGATACACAAAGGAAAAAAACACTAAGCAAAGCAAATAATTAAACAGAACAGAAAGATAAAGATGCAACAGAAGAGAGATAACATAACAACAATAAACCAGCATTTAACAGTAATAACCATTAATTCAAATGGTCTCAATGCACCAATCAAAAGAAACAGACTAGCAGAATGGATCAAGAAACAAAATCCAACCATATGCTGTTTACAGGAAACCCATCTAACCCAGAAGGATACTCACAGACTGAAAGTCAAAGGATGGAAAACAATTCTTCATGCAGCAGGAATCCAAAAAAAGGCAGGAGTAGCCATTCTGTTTGCAGACAACGTGAACTTTAAACCAACAATGACCATAAAGGACAAAGGGGGTGACTACACACTCGTTAGGGGAAAACTCCAAGAAGCAGAGATAACTATCTTAAATATATATGCACCAAACTCCAGAGCACCCAGTTATATAAAACAATTATTAACAGAAATGAAAACTCAAATTATCAGTAACACAATTGTAACAGGAGACCTTAATATGCCATTGACGCCAAGGGACAGATCAACCAGACAGAAAATGAGCAAAGAAATAACAGAACTGAATCACACCTGTGAACAAATGGGTTTGATAGACATATACAGAATGTTCCACCCAACAACATCAGAATACACATTCTTCTCAGCAGTACATGGATCATTCTCTAAAATAGACCATATATTAGCTGACAGAACATATGAAAACAAATGCAAAAGAGTTGAAATCATCCTTTGCATGTTATCGGATCATAGTGCTCTGAAATTAGAAATTAATGATAAAAGATACTGCAAAAATCCCACAAACACATGGAAACTGAATAACACACTCTTGAATAATCAGGGGGTCACAGAAGAAATTAAAGAAGAAATTAAACAATACCTAAAAGAAAATGAAAATGCAGATACAACTTAACGGAATCTGTGGGATGCAATGAAAGCCGTCCTGAGAGGAAAATTTATTGCACTGAGTTCCCACATCAGGAAAACAGAACGAATACAAATAAATAACTTGATGCTACACCTCAAACAGCTAGAAAAAGAGCAAGTCAAGCCCAAAGCCAAAAGAAGAGAAGAAATTATAAA